TATACCAACACTGCTTCCTGGTTTCGACATTGTCCTATAGTTAAGATGTTATCACTGGAAGAGTAGCGTGACATGGGACCACTCTATACTATGTTTTGCAACTCCCTCTGAATCTATAATGATTTCGAAATAAAAATAAAGCAAAAAACTGGAAAGAATCATCCAAGAGACTAGGAGGGAACATTGTTATTTCAAACCCTAATTTCAGTTTCTCAGGAAGCTGCTAGCTCTGAAATATCCAGAGACTCAGGCTCTGGAAGCGAGGCTTTATCTGTAAAGAAAAGTCCCTATGGCTATCTGTGATGACCTAAGCTGACATCTAGAAAGGGATTATGTGGCTATAGGAGGCGTTTACAGCTTTATAGTAATGAGTGAACATCGCCAAGGTTTAGACATATTTCAAGTGGCATGGATAAGATAATTTACAAGCTCTGTGGAATTGCTTAACACAGACCTGCAGAGGACACATGCTCTAATAGGAAGGCATTTTGTTCCACATGCAACCTCATCTTATAGTATAAGACCCTCCAATTCTCCACATAGGAAACCATGCTTCCTTTTCATAAAAGCTGATTTTAAAAACTATCTAATAGCTATTAAATATTCCAACCGCTCTTCTGATATTATGAGCAATTCATGCACAAATACCTAATGAAAAGAAATCACCTGCAGTCCTTCAATTAAGACTTCATGTATCCTTACAGACTTCTGCTTGTTTTTAGCTGAGGGGCACAAGGAGATGGTGAGCAGTCCTGCACTTTGCAGACACAGTGAATTGGCTCTCCCTTCTTCTTCCCCTCCTGCATCCCCTGACTCAACACATGTCTAAGATGATTATTAATAAACCACATACTCTCTGCTCTTTTTTTCCCCTATGGTTGAGATGCCACCACTGGAATAATCTAGGATGCTACTTCGCTTGCTTTTAGCTCTGTCATTTGGGAAGACAGCTCTTTTAAGTGTAACAGAGGCATTTTTTTCTTTGTCAAAGGCTACCCCACCAGTATTGACAGCTCAGCCTGGGTGACAACACTATCATTTCCTAGGGTGAAGTCAGCAGGTTTGGTTTGGGGCATTATTCAAAGGGCACACACAGCTTCTTCATCTTCTTTTAGCTCAACAGATCTCCTAGGAAAATCTTTACTCGGGAAAGGGTCTTGACTTAAGTGAGATAGAAGAGGAGAGACAGGTAGAGGAAAGGAAAAGGAAAGAGAAAGGGTCAAAGAGAAGGAAGGAAGATAAGGTGCACATGAAAAGGAAGAGGAAAGACAGTCTGTGAAGGGAAGGAGAAGATGCACACATATGGACATGCTCTTTGTGGCCATCCCAGCAACATCCCAGCAACTGTTTTTTACATCACTTGATCCCAACTGTCCTGGCAACCTCCTCAATCTGGCTTCTCTTTCCCAATCGTGCTCCATCTACCTACTGCCCGTGTAGTACAGATCATAGTGTTGCACCAAGAGCCATTCTCGGCATATGAAACTAAGGGGAAAAGAGGCAGGTGGTGCTGTGGCCTACAGAGTGCTTGAAGGACATGGCCAGAGAGCCCATGAGGGTGAAAAGGCGCCAGTGTATATTCCCCCAACCAGGTCTTGCCTTATTTCTAACGTAGGCACACATGGGCTAGCCAGTCCTCTTGGAGTAAACACAGGTCCAATTCCTTGAAAAGCATATGAGAATTTGACCTGATGACAATACTCTGAGAAGCTCATTGATATTTTTGGCCTTGAAATGACCATCAGTGAGAATTTTTTCACACCAACTCTAGGACCCTGCTAGCTTAGAGAAAGACTGGGCTACTCTCCAAAGTCTCCGTCCTATCTCATTCTAATCTCTTTTTACCAGTCCCAGAGAGGCAGCATGGTACCACGGATTACATATGGGCATTCAAGTCATATAGGTCTGGGTTCAAACACCAATTTTGCTGGCTCTCTAACCCTAAACTCCATAAGCCTCCCATATAAAATTACAGTAGTAACAACTGCTTCACAGACTTGAACAGTGAAATGAGATAATATGTGTGCAGACCCACCCATGATCATGTGTCAATCATGAGCTGGTGGCTGAAGGGAGCGCACCAGACACCAGGATCAGAGAAAATTGCTACACTTTGGGACCTCACCATAGTCATCAGCCAGGAAATGATGCCCTCACTGGAAGCTGAGAATCTGAGGCCAAAGGGAATCCTAGTTCTCTCCTAGGATGACAGGATTCCTGATGACAAGTCCAGAACACCAAAGAAGCCAGACAAGAGAGAGGAATAAGCTGTGTCCACTCCCTTCGATGTCCCCACACTGCCGCGCACTGAGGCAGGCCAAGAAGAGAAGGTATCTCCCCGAACCAGCTTTGAGAGAGCAACTGGCCAATCCACTTCTAGGGTTAGGAAACGGTAACAGCATGCTCTTTGTGTCATCAAACTGTAAGCTTTAGCACTAGACATCTCATATAAATGGGTTAAATACTGCTTCGAAAGGAAATATATTTTTCTATTAAAGAGCACAGATTTTAGTCGGTAATAACAGGTTCTAGTCATACCTGAGAGGCTGTGGTTTTTAGCTTCTGAATGCCATTCACCAAGTGCTCTTTCTTCTGGGATACCTCTTTGTGCTTCTTCTTCAACAGGTTCTTAAAAAGTGATATTTGTTCTAGAAAACTCTTTGGAGTGGTATAGTTGTGTCTTCTCTCATTCTGGTAATACCTGGCACTCATTTCATTTACTGTGGTGTGGACATGTGCCATGAAAAGGCTGACAGAATCTTTGTGCAGTGGCTGTAAACATAAACATTGCAATTCTCTTGAAATCCTCTCAAGTTAAAAATGTAATTAAAAAATAAGAGCAAAAATCAACAAAATTATACATTTTCCAAAAGTCAGAACAAATTACAGTAGAACCTAGGAAAATTTACTTAATCTTTAAGAGAGATCTACAGGATTAGAGAGGTCACAATAAGGCATTCACTCTATTACCCATCTTCTTGCCAAGGAGGATGAAGGATTTTTATGTGCTCTACATACCAAGCTGAAAAGCCAATGCATGATACAAGCACGGCTCTGTACAACTTGATTTTTATCTCTCAAGTGTGTGAAAGAGAAAATGGAGAAATTGAGACACAACATCCTGAGAAGTATTTTTTTGCTGTGCTTTCAAAGAGAAGTGACAACCCTGCAGTCACTGGGAAAAAAAAAAAAAGCTGAAACTGAGAAATACATAGTTTTATGAGAAGCCATGTAAAAACAAATTGGGTGGGTAGGGGATAAAGGTCAGTGTGTCTGGAAGAAAAATATCATGATCATTTCAGTTCTTATTTGGGAAGAAACCCACAAAAATGAATAACTCTCCTTTGAAGATTATTGGAGAACCCCTCACTACACAGTCTTTCCATTTGTCCTCTATGACTTCTGCAGTAGTTAACTTTTTAATTTGTAGAGTCACATCTCCCTCATTTTAATGATTATTTATTGCGTTCTGTACAAGATGAACCAGGTTCAATTAATCAAGGGAAGCCTAAAAATCAATTAATATGAATTAAATGAGCTACAGCAACTCTTAGGAAAGTCACACATAATTTACCAAAGTGTTGTCAATAATGCTCACACATCTTTGGGCAAATTGCTCACAAGTGGCTAGTGATGCAGTTAAACGTTTCCAACCTGCACCATTAATATTACACACAACTAGAGGTGCAAGGAGAGACAGGCCAATTGTTGGTGAAAAACAACTGCTCCCAAGCAACGTCTTTGAACACCTCGTTTTCCAACATCAAGACAAATTCCTGAGTGGGTTTAAAACAAGCATGTATTAAGTTGTTCTGCATATTAAAAATCCCATCTCACAAGTAAATAAGATAATGTGTTTTTAATGCAAAAGTTAAATATAAAGTGATACAAATCCTAAGTATTCTTTGTTTCTAGTAGATACAAGCACATGTATATTGCCAAATAGTAGGCTCAGAAAAATAAAATTTATAAGGAAGTTTACATAAACTTCATATAAATCATATTCCCTTGGGGACTTTATTTTTAAAAGAGCTTGACTTCAATCCAAACATGTGCAGAAATTCGCTCTTGTCCTGTCTTGTTTTAATGGGAACTGAAAGTGCACACATACCTTTCTACAATATAGATAAATACTTCTTCTGCCAAGTGCAACTTCCTTACAGGAAAAAAAACCCCTGGCCTCTGCCCAACCATGATCCTTATGAGGAGTCTCCTTGGAGGCGCTGAAAGCTCTCTTTAACAACAGTTTCATTTGTAAATCGGCGATGGAAGAAGTGGCTTCCGGTAGAGCTGGAAGTGGCCCGAGACAACTTGTCTCAATGGGGCAAAATAACTATTGTTATCGGGCTTAACAAAATGGCTCAGCATGGGAGACTTGCGGAGCCAGGGAGCAGCTGGTTGTAATTCACACTGTTTTTCAGAAAACTCTAATCGTTCCAGAACAGACCTCTTTGATGACTGGTCTTCCCTGCATTCTCAATTTGTCACTTTCTCTTATGATAAGGTCAGTAGTGACAGCACTTCCTGACATTAACAGCTGTGGCTTTTAAAAGGGTCATTGTAGAACTACTAATTGCAGTAATTTCATTAGCATAAATTATTTATTCTGCCATTCATTTATCTCCAGTTTTCTTTGGGGCGGAGGGCGGAGGAGAGACTGCTGGTGCCGCGGTAGGGACAGCAAGGCAATGCTGTATTTTTCACTTTGAGAGACATGAGGGAAGAGCATCACTGCTGCTAGATTTGGCCCCTTAATGAAAACCAGTTGATATAACCCTGTGGTCATTTAGCAGCCAGTCGTGGTGAAGGCAAACATAAAGAGAAGCAGAGCACCAGCATCAAATGATTATAAATCCGAGGTTTCCCTGCTAAGATGCTTTGGAAAACAGTGCTGTCTCCAACACATAATCAAATGCAAAGACGAAACTGCTTTTTGCTCACATTAAGGAAAAGTGCTTAATTTCTACTCTCTTGGTTGGCTCACTGTAAACACAAAAACATAAACAAGTCTCTGCTACTTGGTGTGACAGTTGCCATCACACCAGGTACTCCTGCCACCTGGCTCTTCAAGCAAATGAACAGAACATCCCCCTTGCTGAAAATGCTGGACAGCAGAGTCGAATGTAAACCAGCACCTGGAGGCCAGCAATAAATCAAGTATTTTGCTATATTAGGATTTTATCCCTTCCCTAGATGAGCAAAGATGACTATACTGGTCTGTAACATCAAATTTGGACTTTCAAGAGTACTGTACTCAGGGAGGGAAGAAGGAAGGACAAAAGGGGAAGGGACGGATGAAAGAATATTTTTTTTTTGAAGTTTAACTTGGGACAATTTTGTCACATATAATGTCATATATGTACAATAAGTCTTTAAAGTTTTTCTCAGAAATTATCTGTGCTAATTTTTTTAAATGTCAGAATGCTGAGCTATAAAATCTATTTTTTTGTGTGTTTTTTTCGCTCTTTCTGGGGCTGGTAAAAGAATATATTAATTAGACACTTGTGGTTGTAAGGTGGCTTATTAAGTAACGAAAACTTAATAATGCATAAAATGAGCAGTATTTCATTTTAGCACCTCCCTTAAGCTTCTCATAGTGCTGATTCACTCTAAGAAAACGGCTCTCAGGTTTTCTCAAGGACACAGGGTTAGATTTCCAGTTCTAAAAGATTGCATAAGTTACTGCATTTCCTGGACTTCCTCCTGCCCACAAAAAGCACTTGTTTTTATTCTGTTTCTTCTTTTAAAACGAGCAAACATTTGTGCAATAGGCGAGAAAAGGATTCAGGACTATGGGCTATGGTGTCCAACTGCAGATGGGCCCCTTGCCCGTGGAGTTATCTTACACTGAGGTCTCCATGCCCTCACCTGTGCAATGGGGAATCTGGTGGTCCCTCCTCTTGAGGTTGGCGATGAGAGGTGGTATGCAATGCAAATTCAGGGCAGGTGTTAGTGCTGCTATCACAGTGACAGTGGCCACAACAGCAGCCACAGAGAGATCACTACCACTACACAGAGCAGCAACAAGTGTTTAATGTAGCACCAAGCACAGTTTTCTCGATTGCATGCTGGTTTTTGTTTTGGTTTGTGACTTTATCAGATGGATGCACTTTGTTGTTAGTTTGCGTACACCTTTTATTTTTGTCTTTAATTTTGGAGCTCATGTACAGGTCAAAGGCAAGATTGAGTCCAGCATAAGCCAACAATCTTCTGGATGAGTTTCCAGTGACTGAAAGAGGTGGCTTCAATGGTTCTCTGACCGAACATTAAAACAAAGATGCAATTGAAGACTGAGGGGGAGAGGAGGTAAAATCTGATCCAGCTATCCGTCTTATAGCAAGAGGACAAGGCTGGAGATGGTATAGCTGGTTTCAGTGAGGCCAGCATCTACAGAAAAGCTCCAAAACTACAAACTTGAAACTAGTGATGGCTCTACTTGAGTTAGCTAAACTTTCAGCTTAGCAGTATGTCTAGATTCCTGGGCAGCTATAAAACTGGACCCTACTTTAGAGGTAGAGGTGATTCCTAAAGTGGATGGAGCTGCAAAAACCCTGGAAAGGAGCATTCTACTACTTTTGCAACTCCATTCTAAATCTGATTACCACGCAGACAGATATTTGTGTGCACATGTAAAGGAGGAAGAGGGCTGAAGAATGGGGAAGAATGTTAACTATTTGGGTCTTTCTTCACCCACTTGAAGATATGCTTAAGCCAGTATGAGATTTAGGCAGATTCAAGGTAAATTTGGTTGCATTTGTTTTTATCTTGATATTTTAAAATGGCTTCAGTATTCCTTAGAAAATAGATATTTTTTCCCAGTTCATAGAACTTGTACTGCATGAGGCTATCTTTCTACTTTTTATTCATATTGAATAATCCTAAATTATATTTCAAAGAAAGAACTTTGTGCTTAAAATCATTAATGTAAGAGAAATTCTGCTAATGTGGTTATCAGTGACAAAATGCTATTTAATACCCTTCATGTTTGGCACAACATTTTTAAAAAGAACCTAAAACCACTGGAGGAACAAGTTCTTTAAATACAGCAGTAAAATAACTTTCCTCTTTGAGTGAACATTTCTCATAATTGGTTTTGAAAAACGGTACTAGAATATGCCATTCATAGGCTACTAAACTCTGCAACAAGTTCTGGATTGCAGAGGTGGTAGCATGGGGAATAAATGCATTTCACTGAAAAAGCTGATAACACTGAGCTTGTGTAATTACTTTTAAGTAGTATCACATCAGAAGGACAGAGAATTTTAACTAGCCAGTTGGCCAACGTGCCTGAGAAGAAGGGGCTCTTCCATCCTCCTGAGGTCATTACTCTCTATCTTCCGACACAAATCCCACCCCCTGGTCAGACAGCTCATCTTTTTCATTTCCATTCAATAATTTCTCCTTTCATCTCGCCCTGCTTTCAAGTTTGTCTACTACTCATTTTGCCTTGAAAAACAAAACACTGCTGGCCTTTTAATGCCCCAACTTCCCTTGCCTTTTTCTTGAATGTTCCTAAGTGGAACCCATGCACTAACCAGTAAGGTCTTTACCTGGTTATTTCCCCAATGTGCTTTCCACAGCATTTCCAACCTCATTCCCAAGGACACCCAGAGGGCCTTTCCTTCTCTCCCTCCTTCCAGGCTGCCTGCCTTCTCCATTTCCAAGTCTCCTGTGGGAAGTACTGTGTGTTGACACAAAGTCTTCAGACAAATACCAGGTGATAATTAAGTGTCAAACTATTTCAGTCATTTTGTGTCAGCTGTCATTTAGTTCAATATCAGGTAACAGAAAAATAGCAGAAACATTTTCTTAGATGCAGTCAACCCATACCTCTAGCGGGTGAATGTGTACTGATGGGAAATTATATGTCAACATACACAAAATGGCTTGTCTGTAATGAATCCTTTCTCTGTGACCAAAGGGGGATCATTATGTATGAGTACCTTATACTCAGCAAATGAGGTCAATAATTAAGAAATGCCTAAATTATGCTTATAACTTTCAGTCTTAATAGTGGAAATTAAAATTAAAAAATGATCAAACTAGTGCTCATTCAAAAAATTTCAAAGCTGTTTTTGACTTCTACAGAAAAGACACCACTTGTTTTTAGAAGACTGTGGACACATTGCACTCTAAATTTTAATTATTGCTCCTGAGCAACAAATTAGGAATGTGGGGAAGTTAAATATGCACCTTGCACTGAAATGAAATCATCTGGCTAATTTGTTTTGAGGAATAATTCAGCTCAATAGAAATAGTAGAGTGCTTTCAAAATTCCCAGTTGGCACTGGCTTCCTATAGGAGGCGTAGTGATACTGTCAGACAGAGCTCAGCACTGACAGGAGCCCTCTGGACTTAAAATGGTGCAAGTCCTGCCTCATCCAGCAGATGTCAATGGTCACTGGCATATGAAAGCTCCTTCAGCCAGAACTGTTTTCAAAGTGGCACCTACCTCAACAGAAGAAAGCCTACAAAGAGCAGCAAAGGCAAGGATCTTTAAAAAAAGCACTATGCCAACTACGAATGTAAACCGTGCTACTAGCTCTTATTTACTCCCATTGGTAAAAGTAACAGAAAAAATGTGCACTGGTTCTTTTCTTTACCAAACCAGCCTGATAAAATGAACCAGATAAAACAGAACTTTGCTATCAAAAGATACATACTGTCTCTCTCCATCAATAAAGCAGTATTTCAAACTCCTCTTATAACTAACTTTTGGAAGATAAAATAATATCCTCCAGAATTCCAACAATGCAATAAGCCTAGAAATTGCTTAAGAAATTTGTGTTAACATTATTTGCCATATTTAATGATTTTCCAGATTTTAAAGCATAAAATATTTCCGGCAGACTTTAGAGAAGATTTTTTTTTCCCATTTATTACTGGAAATGTTTTAAGTGTGAATGTGAAGAAAAGAAGTAGAGAAGAGGTGGTTGAATATCCTAAAGCCTCTACCATATACATATCTTTCAAGTTGGATGCTGCGTGACAGTTCTTTTCTGGCCATTCAGCACTAAATAATTAGATTAATAGACATTCTAGGAAAAGACTAAAGGAGAGGAGGCTTCTCTCTACAAAATTCTGTAGGTATAAATGAATACTTGGCTGTATGCTTACCTATATGGCTGGTTTTCTTTTTCTTTTTCTTTTAGTTGAAGCAAAGAAAAAACAATGTAACACACAGTAAAGCTAGTTGCACGCAAAAAATAATATGTAAATATGCCCAGATTTCTAGCCACCTGGCCACCAAAAGATATAACATTCAAAAAAAATAAAAGGATTGCTTTGGAAAGGCGGCAGTAACACATTTTGGAGTAAGGGAGGCTCTCGTGGGCTGTTCCTGCTCATGATAAACTTTCAAATAGGAACAGACAACATTCCTTACATATCCCCAATTCTGTTTTTGGCTCTGAGAATCACTTTTAATGTGTGACCTATTCTAGGCATGTTTTATCTACCATTAAGTGGAATGAGAAGACACAGTTCCCTGGGAAATTTTCACAATCACTGCCTTTTTGAACTATCTAGTCAGAAAGGCACTAGATACAAATAAAACTTCATTTTTGCCAAATATAAATGACAGCTTCATATTCACATTCCTTCTTCCCTTTGAATCACAATGATAGGAGGCGTTTTTGTTGTTATTTCATGGAACCATTTTAAAATGTAGCAGGCAGTACAAATTTCACCATAAAGAAATGACAAACATAACCCATAAAACATAAACCCATGGAACAAATAAGCAGATATGCTACTTGACTTAGTGACTGTGAAATTGACAGGGGCTGATTTTTCACCTGTTGATACTGTCATGAGAATAATCATAATTAATTGCCTTACTCTGTTAAGAATCAAGCACTATGTGGCTATGCGAGACTACATTTTTCTTTGGGTGTGTGGTGGTGGACTTAAAGGATTGATATTCAAAAAGCCTCATTAAGATTCAAGGAAGTAATGATCCTGGCCTTCTGGCAAGTCAGTGCATGAGTGAGAACATGCTCGTGTGTGTGTGTGTGTGTGTGTGTGTGCGTGTGTGTGTGTGTCTGTGTGTGAGTGTGTGTGTGTGATTGAGTGAGACAGAGAGAGAGACACACACACACACACACGCACACACACACACACTCAGGCTGACACAGCATACCTCAATCCCCTTGGTTTCCTCAATGAACCTCCTGCTGACTGAGACCAGAGCCTCCTGTGGCCACGCATGAAACCAGTCAATGGCCGTGCAGTTAACTATGGCTGGGAACTTCCGAGCTCTAACTCTCAGCGTGGGACCAACCGGAGAGAAACACAAAATGATCTGTGGAGACATGGGGGCAGGGCAGAAACAGGAGGGTGATGAGTGAGCAAAGAATTACATCGCAACCTTAGACGATGAAAGAAAGGAGCGCAGCCAAGCGTGGCATTAAACTACCCTAAGCACCAGAGAGTGGAAAGCAACCTTAACCTCCTTGCTAATCAAAATCTAAACCTGCCCAAAGCAGCTGCTCCATCAGACATACTGAAACGCTGCTGAGTGTTTTCCTGAAAATCTGTCCCTTTTCTTTTAAACATGTTAGATGATAATCATCAGTAGTGAGAAATTTTACTAATTCCCATTACACAGATAGCATTGTAACAATAAAAATAAATGATACAATAATGCCAATCTTCTGTTCCGTTCCCTTCCATTTTGTATTTCATCAGGTTCTATTAAACTGGACAATAATATACTCTTCAAAAAAACAAACCCAGTGTAGTATCATATTGAATATTTACTTTGTGTACTTTACTTGAGTTCTCACTACAGATATTTAAAGGAATAAATCATCCAACTTAAATACACTCCTGCTAAAGAATTTTTAAGTTTCCGGTGTAAATCTGAAGTTTTTTGTAGTTATTTATTTAAATGTTAATTTAAGTCCGAATACATTTCCATACTTTCTCTAGGATACAAGGGATTCTGTCAGCAGTGCCTGAGTTTGACTCTGACGGTCTATCACGGAAACTCTGAAAGAGGAACACCACAGAGCCAGGCAGGGCTGGACCCATTTCTACCCCTTCCTGAGGGTCTCTTGTGAGCATGTGTGAGCTTAAAAGGGTTCATCAGAAATCCCTGTGTAAAGATCTAGAACAAAGGGGGTGTTCAGGGAGCCTCCTTTCCTCCTCTGCTTTCTTTTCCAACTCCTGTGGACTTGAGACACTAGGGGGAGCAATGTCAGATGGGATAAAGTTCAAGAGGGAGAGTTTTCTCTAGAAGCGGTTCAGACTTGATAGAAAACAAAGCTTTGCAGAGATCTAAGTTCCTAACACTTTAAGATCAGGCAATTAACAAAATCATTTTTCAGAGGATATTTTTTCTTACCTAGAGCATTTTAAAAATCCATATCATGAAAAACTCCAGCCTATACCAACCCATATAAAATCTAACGGGTGTTTTTACTATGTTTATTTTATATACCATGTGCATTTAGCAACCTGAGCTAGACAAATACTAAGATCTAAAAATTTTTATTGTAATAAACACATGAGATCTGCTGTCTTAAAATTTTAAGTGTATACCACAGTATGGTTAACTATAAGCACAAGGCTGTAGAGCATATCTCTAGAACTTTTTCATCCTGCATGATTGAAACTCTGTACCCATTGAACAGCAACTCCCTATTTCCCGTCCCCCCAGCCCCTAGCAACCACCAATCACTTTCTGTTTCTACCAGTTTGACTCCTCTAGATAAGTGGTATCATGCAGTATCTGTCATGCTTACTTCACTTAGCATGATGTAAGTTGTGATCTGTGACAGAATTTCCTTTTATAGCTAATATTATAGCTAATAATATTCCAATATGTATATATACCACATTTTCTTTATCCATTCATCTGTTGATGGACACCTAGGTTGCTTCCACATCTTGGCTATTTTGAATAATGCTGCAATGAACATTGGAGTGCAGATCTCGTTCAAGATCCTGATTTCAATTCGTTTAGATATACCCAAAATGTGATTGCTGGATCATATGGTAATTCTATTTTAAATTTTTGAGGAACTACCATACTGTTTTCCATACTGACCATACTATTCTACATTTCCACCAACAGTGTACAAAAGTTCTAATTTTTCCATATCCTCACCAATACTTGTTTTTGTGTGTGTGTTTTCTTTAAAATTAATAATGGCTATCCTAACAGATATTAGGTGATAACTCATTGTGGTTCTAATTTGCATTTCCCTAATGATTAGTGATGTTGAAAATATTTTCATATACTTGTTGGCCATTTGCATGTATTCTTTAGAGAAATGTCTATTAAGTCCTTTGCCCATTTAAAAAATCAGGTTATCTGTGTTTTTTGCTGTTGAGTTACAGGAGTTCCTTATATATTTTGGAGATTAATCTCTTATCAAATACATGGTTTGCAAATATTTTATCCCCTTTCTAGGTTGCCTTTTCACCATTGGTTCTTTTGCCGTGCAGCAGCTTTTTAATTTGATGTAGTCCCACTTGTCTATTCTTGCTTTTGTTTCCTGTGCTTTTGATGTCATATCAAAGAAATCATTGCCAAGGCCAATGATAGAAGATTTACCCATCTGTCTTCTTCCAGGAGTTTTATAGCATTAGGTCTTATTCATGTTTAAGTCATTAAAACATTCTGAGTTGATGCTTGAATTGGGTATAAAATAAAGTCCAATTTCATTTTTTTGCATGTGGCAATTTTTTTTAATGATGCATAAGCTGACTGATCATTTATTCATTATATTCAAAATTCTAGTTACAAATGAATTGCTCTTATATTGCATGTGCTAAGTTAACAAGCCTCGGTTACAAAGCATAATTTTCACTTAAACCTCAGTGTTTAGTCTTACTAGTCTTCTTTTCTCCCCATGCTTGAATATTTTTCCTCTTTCCAAGAAGTTGGTATTCCGCACTCAACTCATCATTCATTTGTGCCAATTTTAGAAACTTTATTTACATATAATAGTAGCAAAGGCAGAGAAAAAAGCATCCATTATTTGAAATCCTAAATATTTCCATCACTTGTACACTTAATCTAGTTCTACACTGGTAATTGGCATACCATTGGGTCTAAAGAATGTGTTAGAAAACAATGTATCTGAACTGTTTGTTTGGTTTCAGGAAAGAATGTGTTCCCTGAGTTACTTTAATGATATGCCTTCACTACTTATTGAAAAATAATATAGAATGGTGATTTAAAGAACTATTTTTCCTTTCCACAATTTTACAATAGAAGATTTTTTTCCTATTTATTGCTTAAATAAGGATCCTCACAATGCTATTTAAAATTTCACATGAGGGAGAGGGTAGAGAGAGATCGGTGTTTCTCAAAGGATTGTCTGGAAGCTGGTTAGACATGCAAATTCTTGGACCCAATCCAGACCTAGGGTATCAGAACCTCTAGAGGTTGAGTAATGTGTGTACAACAAGCCCACCCAGATGATTTTTAAAAAAATTTTTACAGGTTTTTAATTTTTTTTAACCCTAAGACATGCTGAGAAAAACCCTACTGTATTTTAACTTTTTTTTTTTTTTGTATTAAAAAAAGAACCGTAAATGGCTGCATTTGGATGGTTCTTGAATGCCTTAGGTATGGAGGTAACCCAGTAATTATACCCTGGGGCAGTGGCTCTTTAGACTTTGGATTTTCACCAGTCCTGTGGTAAACAGCTTATGGAAAGAGTCTGTCTTTTGATGTGATTCCAATAAGAAGGTCAGTTAAATCCTACCATGGGAATATTGCCACATTTACCCCAGAGGAAGCTTCCTAGTAAGGGCTAGTCAGGTCCCCAGAAGGACAGAGCAGATTGTAAGAGCTGTGTGTGCCTCCTTGTTAATAAATAAACTCTGTTCACTTTGACACTTTCTTTCCTTGAAACATACCTCAAGTTGGGGGATTTGGGGAGAAGAGCCTCTTCCCTCACGTGAACAGGAGTCACCTACTGTTAAGTACCTAAATTCACTGAAATATACCCTCCCTCGCCAAAAAAATAAGTTCTTGACAATTGCAAATGACCAAATTGGCTTAAGTTAGCTTACAACAGTGGGGATGGAAAGAAAAGCCAGCTGAGAAAATAAAGTTAAAAATGCCTCAGGCAGCTGTGCTCTTTTCTAAAAGCAAATTCTCACAAGTAAAAAGCAAACCCCGAAATCACCATCTATGTATTTCCTGCAGCTCTGACATTTGGATGTCAGGAACTTGCTTTTTAGAATCCATACCATAGAATTTTCTATTCTTTTTTTCTGTTCCCCACACAGGTGTTATGACTCATTTGCAATAACCCACTTTTCATTGTGCTTCGTAATAGGTTTCAATTTCTTTTAGATAAGATCCTATCGTAAGTACATATTTATTTGTGTATCACTAACAGGACTCAGTCCATTTCATCTTGTAATGGAAATTTGAATTGCTGCAGTCACTCTGTATTTTTTTCCCAGTTGATGTAGTTTATTTTCAGATAGAAGTAACCCTCCCACATATTTACTTCAGAAGCTTCTCTCCATAACTTACATTTGCATTTATCCTCAAAAGCCTCAGTATTTTTCAAGAATAATGAGACTTGAGTGTTACTGAGAGAACCCTCACTGGAATGGAGAAAATATTCCCCAGTTTAACTGTTTTAGTCTCACTTTCCCATCATCCACAAATCTTCCAGCATTACACCCATGTAATAACCTTTTAATTACAATTCTTCTTAAAAGATCCAACAGCATCTTCAACATCTACACATTCAATATATTTTTATACTTATTTCCTTTTTAGATAGCACACAATGAAATCATTCCCATGACCTTTGATTTGAAAATATTGGATATTACAGATTTTTACTAAAGGCAACATTTTAATCAGGGAGTTTTAATTCATTTTCCTCCCTCCCTCCCTTTCTTTCTACAATAAAACTCTTCTATTCATAAGGAAAATTGTACGTAGAATTCCAACAGACAGCAAAGAGCAAACCCATTCTGGGGATGAAGACACTAAGGAGAGCCCTCATCTCAGCCGCTCTGCTCTGCCTGTCGCCAGGGCCTGCAGTGTTTACACTGCTCTC